CCTAATATTTTAAATTCGAACATGCTTATGGGTGGCATGGTGGCTCAGTGGTTAGCACTGTCACCTCACAGCAAGAAGTATGCTGGTTCGAGTCCTGGCTTGGTCAAGTGGCAAAACTCTGTGTGGAGTTTGCATGTTCTGCCCGTGCTGGTGTGGGATTCCTCCGGGTGCTCCGGTTTCCCCTACACTACAAAGGCATGCGGTACAGGTGAATTAAGTAAGCTAAAATGGCCATAGTGTATGAGTGTAAATGAGTGTGTATGGATGTTTCCCAGTGATGGGTTGCAGCTGGAAGGGCATCCGCTGCGTAGAACATATGCTGAAATTGGTCCTAGTGTATGAGTGTGTGTGTGAATGAATTAGTTCGTATGGGTGTTTCCCAGTACTGGGTTGCGGCTGGAAGGGTATCTGCTATGTAAAACATATTCTGGATTAGTTGGTGGTTCATTCTGCTGTGGTAACCCCTGATGTATAAAGGGAGTAAGTTGAAGGAAAATGAATGAATGGTTTTAACATAGTATATCCTGACGGCACACACCGCTTTCTATTTAGAACAGGGGTCATCAAACTTGTTCCTGGAGGGCCGGTGTCCTGGAGATTTTAGCTCCAACCCTAATCAAACACACCTGAACAAGCTAATCAAGGTCTTAGGTGTACTTGAAACACCCAGGCAGGTGTGTTGAGGCAAGTTGGAGCTAAACACTGCAGGGTCACCGGCCCCCCAGGACCAGGATTGGTGACCCCTGATCTAGAACTTTGTTTTATCCAGATATTGATTTTATTATATACCTCCATGATTCCTTCTGTATTTTCTGAGGTCAGAAATTGGAGTTACTGAATTACTGTGTGTGTGTGTGTGTGTGTGTGTGTGTGTGTGTGTGTGTGTGTGTGTGCTTTTGTCCTAATTATTTCATGATATTTTAATGACAAACCAGGATGATGGATAACCTGCTGAAAGTGTCTGCTTCTGTGTGTGTGTGTGTGTGTGTGTGTGTGTGTACAGAAATCAGAGAGTGACATAAATCTTTAATGAATAGTTGGTCAGACAATTGAACAAGACACGAAGGGCAGATGTATCCATGTTATAGACATCAACATGACCAAAGCACAGAGATAAACAGCCATTTCAAGAGTTCACCCTTAGCTGATGATTGATTATAAAGCTTGTTTGGCATGAGGTCCCGGGAGCGAGCCCTGTGCTCACAAGTTCCTTGAGCTCGGGGCTCCCTCCCATTTGCAAGACGAGAGGGGAGTTTGAGCACAGGTAGATCTGAAGAACTCCCCTGAGTTAAGAGAGATAACTAATTACGGAGCATGTCTATAGTGCTGATTTGGATTAGTCAATTAACTTAAGTTGCATGTTTTTGGACTGTGGGATGAAACCGGGTAACCAGGGGGAAAGCCATGTGAGCACCGGGAGAACGTGTAAACTCCGCACAGAAACGTCGGCTGGCTTGGTAAGGACTATACCAGTGGCGTTCTTGCTGTGAGGCAACAGTGCTAACCACTGGGCCACCATGCCACCCATCTAGCAAAGGAGGAGGAGTATGGGTGGAAGAGGGGATTCTTCAAAACGAAGATGGCTCTTATATGGAACTTAGAGTATTTATAGTGGCTTTGGAATCGTCTGATTGGTGAATCGTAAATTGGATAATGCAGCACCAGCTGTGATCAATCATAAGCACGTGATCCTCTCGAAATTAGTTTAGAAATAAACTTCACTAAACTTGAGGATTCCAGTCATCACAATCCATTTATTCCCTCGTTTGCTTATGTACACTGCTATTCAGACTCATGCACATGCTCAACTCATGACAGACTGTTTACTGTCTTTACAGTCATAATGCAACCGTTTTAATGTTTCCATGCATCAGTATTGTGTGTGTGAGAGAAAACAGGACAGAAATTCAACAGAATAGTTTGGCCATTGGCTATATCTTCCTTTCAAAGGCAGATGAAAATGTATGCAAAACTCCCAAAAAATGCCTAAATAAAATTAAGACACAGGACAATTTTATTTAAATTTTTTTTTGCTTAGTTTTGTTTCCTGCAATCTTTCATTTTGTTTTAAAAGGAGAATCACAATCTATGACATTTACTTACACATACTCTATGTGTCTTGGAAACTGTCTCTTTACCATCTGGCTTGTAATGACCTTGTATTTATGATTGATTTATTTTTTGAGTAATGTTTTTACTGTAAATTCTGTGAGATTAATTCAGTAATTGAAAAGCTATTTCAGTGCCTCTACAACATGGTCCTGTTACTCTTATGGCCACCAGAGGGCGACAAAAGTAAAGCTTACAGAAAAAGTGACCATTAAATTGCATATGCACTTTGTCTTAATACTTGAGGTCCATGTGGCCATGTGTCTCACCGGCCACTTTATTAGGTACACCTGTCTAACAGCTCGTTAGCGCAAATTTCTTATCAGCCAATCACATGGCAGCAACTCAATGCATTTGGGCATGTAGACATGGTCAAGATGATCTGCTGTAGTTCAAAGCGAGCATCAGAATGGGGAAGAAAGGGGATTTAAGTGACTTTGAACGTGGCATGGTTGTTGCTGCCAGACGGGCTGCTCTGAGTATTTCAGAAACTGCTGATCTACTGGGATTTTTACGCACAACCATCTCTAGGCTCAATGGAGAATGCTCCGGCAAAGAGGAAATATCCAGTGAGCGGCAGTTCAAATGCCTTGTTGATGCCAGAGGTCAGAGGAGAATGGCCAGACTGGTTCCAGCTGATAGAAAGGCAACAATAACTACCTTTAGGTAGTAAGTACCTTGCTGAATCTATGTCACGAAGCATTAAGGCAGTTTTGAAGGCAAAAAAGAGTCCAACCTGGTACTAGTAAGGTGTACCTAATAAAGTGGCCGGTGAGTGGATTTATGTACTTCAGGTAACCTGTAGGTTGATTGTCAGTCACTTTGTATGGCTGCTCATTTTATTATTTAGTCTTTTATGCTTGATAAAAACTGACCTCTAGATCAAATTAATTTTTAAAGAAATAGTTTTTCTACTAGCCTCAGTGAATTCCCGAAGATGTTTTTTCCTTCGCTGAATATCTGAAGTCTCAAAGCAGTTTTTCCTCTAGCAATTAACAGCTTAACTTTCAGACTTTTGATCGACAAACATTTTGTTCTGGCTTTAAAAGGCTTGCAGTAAAACACTGAAGTTGCATGCAGATAGAGTTTGTTTTTGTGTGGAAAAGAGTTCAGCGTCCTGAGGGATTAAATCACCACTTATAATGAGCATTAAAAATATGTTTGGGTACAAATAAACAGATTTAAAAATATATTTATATAATAGGAAATCAATTCCACATGCATATTTAAAAAGAAATTAATGTAACATAAAATATTTTTTAAATAAATAAATGTTAATGTGTTCTTATTTACATATTTATTAGTGATATGTGACGAACACGTGTTTGGGAGTATGTTTGATGCTTCTTTATAACCGTATTGCATCCAGTGGCCACCAGAGGGCGTTAGAAGGTTGCCACTCAATTGCAATTATATTTTCCCTTGTGTATTTTATGTTTGCACATAGCCATTGACATACAGTATAGTAAAGGAGCAAATACAAATACAGCAAGACAAAGTAACAGCATGTCAACAAACAGTTTTGTATAGTTAATATATACTACCTTTTACTCCCATTAGCTACAACAGTAACCGTAGCACCATTTGTAGCGCTGTTATCGTCCAGCATCCTGTTTTCAGAGTCTTTCAGCAATACACAAGTTCTAGGCAGAAACCCCGCCCCTTTTGAAGAATGGGCGTGTCCAGTCATTGTCCCCGCCGCCGTTGCAGCTATCGGTATTGTTGTCTCTGTTTTACACCGTCTCCCTCCACACAGCAGCTTTGCGTAGGCAGATCTGAAGTCTCTGTTTAGCGTAGCGTAAAGTACAGGGTTTAGCGCAGAGTTGGCGTATCCCAGCCAAAGCACGACAGACTGCGCAGTCTGTGGAGGGTTTTCTTCGTTACGTATTCCCATTATCGTAAAAAACGTGAAATATGGAAACCAGCACACTACAAACGCACCAAGGACAACCGCGAGAGTCACCGTTGCTTTATGTTCGCGCAATGTTAGAATCGTCACGCCCTGCGAAGACGTCGAACCGCGGCGCGTAGAAATAATCCGTTTCGCTCGCATCCTTGCGATGCGAAACACTCGGTGGTAGCTCCAACACATGGCCAGCAGGGGGAGATAAAACGTTGAGAAAGCATCCACGATGGCGTACGTCGGATTCAGCTCGAATCTACAGTCTCTAGCATGGTCGCCCTCGCGAATATTTTGCACGCTTAAATCGCGCGTATTCCATCCTAGGTGAATAGGCACGAATGAAACGCCCACCGAAACCAACCATATTGTCGCTAGAATCGCTCCGACTCGCCATGGAAGCACTAGCATTGGGTATCGTAGCGGAGCAGTGACCGCAAAGTAGCGATCCAAGCTAATGGCGAAGAGGTTGAGTATGGAGGCGGTGCATAGCATGACGTCCAGTGAGATGTAGATGTTGCAGAAGTGCGCCCCTAGTGGCCAGTCTCCCGTAACCTGGTAAAGAGTTGAAAATGGCAGCACGAGTGCGCCCAGTAGGAAATCTGTTACCGCTAGCGAAACGATGAAGCAGTTGGTGACGTTACGCAAGCGTCTCGTAGCATACACAGCCAGACAGACCAGAATATTCCCACTTACAGTGAGCAGGATGAGGACGGAGAGCGTCACAGCTAAAGCTATCTGGGATGTCATTCTGTCTGTTGTACTTTTTTGTATCTTTCTTTTTGTTCTAGAAAGTAGAGCTGCACGATATATCGCAAAATAATCACGATAATAGCATATGAACTATACACATCGCTGAATATAAATTGCATTTAATTTATGTTCATCTAAATTTGACCAATCAGATAGGGCCTTACTATCTTTATCCCCGCCTCCTTAGTGGTTGCTGTTCTGCTATTGGCTAGAACAGATCAAAGGTAAACCCAGAGTTGAAAATAAACACTAATGGGCGGAGCTGAGACGAGAGAGGAAAATGACAAGAGCCAATCAGAGGCAGAATATCTGCGCAGTGTTTTAAATACTAAACTATGTTTATCTAAATTTGACCTATCAGATGAGACCTTATTTTCTTTACCCCCGCCTCCTCAGTAGTTGCTAGTCTGCTATTGGCTGGAGCGATCAAAGGTGTACCCAGAGCTGAAAATAAACACTAATGGGCGGAGTCGAGATGGGAGAGGAAAATGACAACAGCCAGTCAGAGGCAGAACATATGCGAAGGTTTAAACTTATTCAAAGCGTTTTAAGGACTAAACATTTAGCTGGTTATCTAAATTTGACAAATCAGACGAGGCCTTACTAACTTTAGCCTCGCCTACTCAATAGTTGCTGTTCTGCTATTGGCTGGAGCAGATTAAAGGTGAACCCAGAGCTGAAAATAAACACTAATGGGCGGAGTCGAGACGAGAGAGGAAAATGACAATAGCCAATCAGAGGCAGGATATCTGCGGAGGTTTACACTCAGTGTTTTAAAGATTAAACATTTAACTATGTTTATTTAAATTTGACCAATCAGATGAGGCCTTACTATCTTTAGCCCCGCCTCCTCAATAGTTGCTGTTCTGCTATTAGCTGGAGCGGATTATAGGTGAACCCAGAGCTGAAAATAAACACTAATGGGCGGAGTCGAGACGAGAGAGGAAAATGACAACAACCAATCAGAGACCAGATATCTGCGGAGGTTTACCCTCATTCATAAAGTTTTAAAGACTAAATGTTTAACTATGCTTATCTTAATTTGGCCAATCAGATTACTATCTTTAGCCCCACCTCCCAACTAGTTATTCAGCGATTTTCTTATCTAAATTTGACCGATCAGATAAAGATAGTCTTACTATCTTTAGCCCCACCTCTTCCAGCCTGCTATTGGCTGGAGCGGTTCAAAGGCTGAAAATAAACAATAGTAGGCGGAGCCAAGACAAGAGGACAATAACAGCAGCCAGTCAGAGTCAGAATATCTGCGCATAGCTATTTATCTAGATTTAACAAATCAGATGAGGCCTTGCCATCCTTAGCCACGCCTCCTCAGTAGTTGTTCTTTTGCTATTGGCTGGAGCAGATCAAAGGTGAACCCCAGAGCTGAAAATAAACACGAGTGAAGATGAGAGGAAAATGACAGCAGCCAATCAGAGTCAGAATATCCGCGCAAGTTTTCACTCAGTGAGTGTTTTACGGACTCGATGTTTGTTTAATTAGTCTGAATTAGATCTGAAATGTGTATCTTACCCTGTTTATTGTAATATCACTTCATAAATAAATGATTTAAAAACAGCTAATAAAAATAACATTAATTTGTTAATTTGATGTTTATCTTAATTTGACCAATCAGATGAGGCCTTAGTATCTTTAGCCCCGCCTCTCCAGTAGTTACTGTTCTGCTATTGGCTAAAAGCTGAACCCAAAGCTGAAAATAAACTGTGGGCGGAGTTTAGACGAGAGAAAAATGATAACAGCCAATCAGAGGCTGAATATCTGCAAAGTTTGACTAAATGTTCGTTTTTAATTAGAGTTAATTAGATCTGGAGCGTATTTGACCTGTTTATTGTAATATAATTACAATAGTGATTTAAAAGCATAGTTATTAATATAGCATTCCTCTAGGGGAATGTTATACGGTATTGTTAACGCAGTAATCTCAAATCTTTCCAGTATCGTGCAGCATTTGTTTGGGTGCATGATGTTTTTGCAATTCTACAATGTCATGTGTTTGATTTTATGGAACATGCATGCTCGATTCTCGATTTGTAGACGAATATCTGTGATTTTTGTCCACATTTGTATTAGTGGAGAAATGCAGGGTTGTGTCTGTTTGTGTTGATCCTTCTCTCTGCCAGTCTGATTGTTCCCATAGCTCAACAATGCCAAGGTTGTGTATTTGATTCCAGGAAACGCGCATCCTTGAATCCAGCGCATAAACGCATGTCAGATTTTCTAGGTCGAGATGTTTGAAATGCAAAGTTTTGTAGGTCAATCTCCTTAGGGGTTTATTGGTAGAGAAACACCAGCAATTCAGGTGTGCGTTTGAAGGCTCAAGGCTGTGAGATTGCTTCCAGGGAATGCGCACGCTTCAATGCGTTAATGCAAAGCGCAGTGTAGTTTTTGTAGGTCATGTCACTTAAAAGGGTCTCCAGAAAATATTCCCAACGGTCTCCTTCCACACTGCAGGATATGTCCTCCATTACTCCATCTGTTTCTCTGTACACCTTCTGTCCATCTGAATGCATGTTCCAGACCTCCATTAGAGTGTATTTTGTTTCCCTCTGCTGGTCAAAGTCATGCATTACACATTTATTTTAATCTTCCACCTGTTTGAAAGAGAAAAGACACACATTAAGTCTAATATAATATAGATACGTTTTTTTATTAGTGATACGTTCCATTTAAGTACATTATTGGACATCATTGCATTCAATTTGCATTAATGATTTGCAATCCACTAGTTTAATTATAGCCAAGACGACTGTGTTTAGACGTCTATTAGACATCTTTTAAAAACAAAAATTGCTTGCTGCGAAAGTGTTTGCCCCCTACAGATTTTTGTTGTTGTGCATGCTAGTCACATTTTAACAGTTCAGATCATCAAACAAACTTAGATATTAGTCGAAGATAACACAAGTAAACACATCATGCAGTTTTAGAAAGGGTTGTTATGATTAATTGAAAAAAATACAAAATAATAACATTGCATTAACAACTACACTCACCGGCCACTTTATTAGGTACAGCAGTCCAACTGCTCGTTAAAGCAAATTTCTAATCAGCCAATCACATAGCAACAACTCAATGCATTTAGGCATGTAAACATTGTCCAGACTAGTGTCCAAACTCAGTCCTGGAGAGCCAGTGTTCTGCATATTAAGTTCCAACTCCCAATTGAACACACCTGAACCAGATAATCAAGCTCTTTCTAGGTATACTAGCTGGTGTGTTGGAGGAAGTTGGAGCTAAACTATGCAGGACACCGGCCCTCCAGGATCGAGTTTTGGACACCCCTGGTCAAGACGACCTGCTGCAGTTCAAACCAAGCATCAGAATGGGGAAGAAAGGTGACTTTGAACGTGGCATGGTTGTTAGTTTATTTTTCCAGTTGTAGTACCTAGTTGAATCTATCCCACGAAGGATTAAGTCAAAAGTGGGTCCAACCTGGTACTAGTAAGGTGTTCCTAATAAAGTGGCCGGTGAGTGTACGTTAACATTAACAATATTATATAACTCACTAGCCACAACAAACATGAAAACCAGTGTAAATAATGCAGAAAACAGTAAAGCAGAAGAAGCGTGAATTATTCATGGAGCAGCGAAGGCTGGAAAGCCCTCCTGTATCCCGCAGCTTGTCAGTCGTGCAGGTAAAAAGCTTGCAAAATCAGATTTTTCATAGAAATCTGAAGATGTTTTAGCCTATCATTGAGTCTTTGAGTAAATGTGTGTAAATATTAAAAAAAATCATTATTATATTAATTTCAGTAATATATTAATGAATAATATGCAAATGTTTATATGGTTGGGGCGACACAGTGGCTCAGTGGTTAGCACTGTCTCCTCACAGCAATAAGGTTGCTGGTTCATTAGTTTCCTCCGGGTGCTCCGGTTTCCCCCACAGTCCAAACATATGCACTATAGGGGAATTGATGAACAAAATTGGCTGTAGTGTATGAGTGTGTGTGTGTGTATGGGTGTTTCCCAGTACTGGGTTCCCTACATAATAAGTTTGCGGTTTATTCTGCCCATGGCGACCCCTGATGGATAAAGGGACTAAGCCGAAGGAAAATGAATGAATGATTGCTTATGTGATTTATTTAGTTTGCGGTTTCTAAAGTAATAGTTTGTGTCTTTGAGTGGATATATTAAATGACACTTGCTTTGTTTACCAAACACGTTGATCTAATTGGATTTGCATGCGAAACTTTAAATACAAGTTAAAAAGTTTTTTTTTTTTTATATTTCTTGTTTTAGTTGATTTTAGTTGCTATACTTTCCTAATCATTCTGTCATTTCTCTGCATCTGTCTGGCATTAATCATCGGTTATTAATATCATGTCAAAAAAAGATTTCAGCAGCTGTTTTATACCATATATGTGAATCATTCAGTGTTTTTCTTCCTTTTTCCTTCTACACAGAACCACTTCAAAACTTTACAAAGACACTTTGATATGTGTAGATCAGGGCTACATGATTAAAAATTGCAATATATATGAATACAATTAGTTTTCCAGCGATGGGTTGCGGCTGGAAGGGCATCCGCTGCGTAAAAAAACTTGCTGGATATGTTGGCGGTTCATTCCGCTGTGGCGACCCCGGATTAATAAAGGGACTAAGCCGACAAGTAAATGAATGAATGAATGAATGAATGAATGAATGAATACAATTTCATATTCAGATGGATTTGGGGTAGTTCTGTAGGGCTATGCATCTGCATAAAATATAATACGTAATGTATATGCATAAGTTCTTTCCTAATAGAAGTATGCAAGCAATGAATGTTTCCAGAAAAATTATGAAAGCAATAGCGTAAAAGATACAAATGAAATAAACAGTATGGTTTATGGTTTATTTTATCAGCTGTTTCCAATTTCAGCTTTGTGTTTTTGACTGTTTGGCGCCATCTTGTGTCGGACTAATGCGCAGGTTAGTGTATACTCCATGAGCTGATTTCGTTTTTGTCTGTTTGGCGCCATCTAGTGTCTGAATAATGTGCAGGTTAGTGTATACTCCATCAGCTGTTTTCGTTTTTGTCTGTTTGGCGCCATCTAGTGTCTGAATAATGTGCAGGTTAGTGTATACTCCATCAGCTGTTTTCGTTTTTGTCTGTTGGGCGCCATCTAGTGTCTAAATAATGTGCAGGTTAGTGTATACTCCATCAGCTGTTTTCGTTTTTGTCTGTTTGGCG